TTACTTCGGAGGTGAAAGGTGTGGTAGCTTTACATAGAGTCAATGCTAATAAAATTGCGGTTATCTTTAAACAATACAACACTGCAAATAATTTCATCACAAATACAGACTTTTTAACAAAGCACAACTTGAAGGCACATATTCCTGCAGCGCAGATAGAAAAAACTGGAATCATCAGATATGTGCCTACCAGCATTTCGAACAAGGATTTATATATGAAACTCTCTTCGATCTATGAAATTATTTCAGTGAGAAGATTCACGAAAAAAAGTCGGTCAAAGTACTGTAGGTCTCGAGACTGTCAGTATAACTTTCTTGTCAAATATTCTGCCCGATAATGTCCAATATGACCTATTTTCGTTCAGGGTGTTTGAATATGTCCCGCCGTTACAGCAATGCTTCCGGTGCTTCAGGTTCAACCATCCTGCGAAAATTTGTAATGGTAAACAACGTTGCTCGATATGTGCTGGGGAGCATAATTTCAGAGACTGCGATAAAAAACATAACCCGTGTTGTGTCAATTGCAGTGGCCCTCACCTGGCTATTTCCAAATCTTGCCCAATAAAAATGAAAAAAATACTTGAAAAAAAGGGTAAAATTACTTATGCCTCTGTTGCAAATACAATTACGTCATCTGATTTTCCGTCTTTACCGGCACAGTCGAACAGCATTGTTAAGAGCCTACCATCAATAAGCCAAAATGTACATAAATTAAATAAAAATGTAAAAATTGTAAATAAAACAGTGCCTGAACCCAACTTGAACCAAACTCAACTGAAGGCTCAAATTGCAAACAATAAGAATATTCTGATGGCAAAGGTTCAAACTTTAGTTGAATTGGGTAATAAAACAGATAATGAACCTGTGACTACTCTGTTCATTAAAGACTTACTTTTAAAAAATCTGTCACATTAATGGACAGTACAGTACAGAACATACAGCAGTTATGTATAGCTCAGTACAATATTCAAAGTATACATAGGAAAAAACCCTTACTGTCTAAATTTTTAGCTGAACAAAATGTTGATATATGTCTACTCAATGAAACTTGGCTTAAAGATACTCAGCATTTTAAAATTTCGGGATATAATTCCCACTATCATAATGCTCAAAATGAGCATGGTGGAGTAGCAATTTTGATCAAACCGTATTTTAAATATAATATTATTCCAACCAGATTTTACCAAGATATTCAGACTATAGCATTATCGTTATATGTAAGTGGTAAACACTTAACGATTCTATGTGTATACTGCCCTCCCTCGAATGGTAACTTCAGAATAAGTAAACTGCGTAATATAATTAGAGATTTGCCTAAGCCAATATACGTGGCTGGAGATTTCAACGCTCATCATGTGGCATTTGGATGTATGACCACGAAAAGTCGGGGTCATCAATTATACGATTTAATTGATGAATTTGATCTGTGTGTCCTTAACAATGGAAGCTTCACTACTATTAATTATCCTAACCGAAATCCTTCAGCTATTGATGTCAGCTTTTGTGTGCTCCAATCACTCCACTATGCGAATGGTGGGTGCATGATGATTGTATGGGGAGCTATCATTTTCCTACGCTTACTCGTGTTTTATTGTCCGTTGATAGATACCAAATTAATCCTCCCATTGAAAAATTCTTATACAATAAGACAAACTGGACGAAATACAATGAGCTGTCTATAACTGCTTTTTCTAATTTTGAAGTTAATAATGAGAATCCATTACAATCATATGATGAATTTATCGAAAGACTTGATACACTTAAGAGGGAGAAAAAAGTAATAATAAGTAAATAAGTAATAAATACTGTACCAAAGTTTGTCAAAGCAAATAATTATCGTTGCAAATCTCCAGCACCTTGGTGGAGCGACATATGTGAACAGAGTGTTATTAAAACTTATGAAGCTTTAAAACTGTACAGAAGGGATCCAACCATTGATAATTATATTAATTACAAAAGACTTAATGCTGTTAAGAAAAAGATTATTTCAGAACATAAACGCAATGGTTGGGTGAACATCTGTAATACTTTTAACAGAACTACACCTGTTAATATTATTTGGAAATACATCAAGTTATTTAAATGAATAAAATGTAATAATAGAACATATAAAGATGAATTTGTTGTCCCTCTCTTAGAAAAATTATCTCAAAATGATGTAGGGTTATTAATAATCTAGAAAGTTATTTTCAAATTAATAATAGCCTTCAGAAGTCCAGTTTCCTCATAGAACCCTTTACTTGGAGTGAGTTTTGTACAAGTTTACAATCCAGACGAAACACAACCCCTGGTTTAGATGATTGTCCATACATTTTGATTAAAAACCTAAATCAGTCCGTTTAAAAAAAACTATTAGCTAATCTTAATGCTCTTTGGCACTTAAAAAAAATTCCTGAATCTTGGAAAACACAGTGTGTAATCCCTCTACTTAAGCCTGACAAGCCACCTGAAGATCCTAATTCGTATCGTCCCATATCATTGTCATCTTGTGTTGGAAAGCTTAATGAAAACATGATAAAGATGCGTCTTGAGTATTATGTAGAGGTGAACAACATCATTCCACATGTTCAATATGGCTTCCGGAGAGGGCGAAGTTGTGCTGACAGCTTCATCTCTCTCTTGTCAGATCTGAAATATGCCAATAATAATAATAAGTCCAGTGTTTGTGTTTTTCTGGATGTTCAAGGTGCATTTGATAATGTTGACCCTGGCATTTTGGTTCAAGTTCTTTCTGACATTGGTATACCAGGCATGCTTTGTCATTGGTTATTTAATTTTTTAACAGATAGAACTTTGTATATAAGATATAATAATATTCTCCATGGTCCCAGAAAGGTCTCCAAAGGTACAATGCAGGGGGGCTACATTATCTCCATTGCTGTACAATATATATATACTAGTCAAATTCTTAATTTTGTAAATATAGAAGGTGTAAATATTCTACAATTTGCGGATGATCTTGTAATATATTGTACAGACCATAATGTAGATAGAGCTGTAAATAATATAAATAATGCTTTAGACCAATTGTATATATAATATAATGACAGGTTGGCTCTAAAGATTAACCCCAACAAAAGCAAGGCCATGATTTTTAGTAAAGATTTCCCCTCTAATGGCATACTTTACAATAATCATCCAATTTCAGTTGTACCTAACCATAAATTCTTGGGTGTTGTCATTGATAACAAACTTTGTTTAGATTTACATATCAATCACATTATAACTAACTCTCTTAAGGGTTTAAATATTATAAGATGTTTAGCTGGTGTGACTTGGGGTGCAGACCCCAAAGTTTTAAGTATGCTGTATAAATCTATAGTCAGAAGCCACTTCGACTACAGTTGTTTAGCCTACACAAATAGTAGTAGTGTAAAAAAACTAGACATAATTCAAAACAAAGCTCTGCGAATTATTACTGGGGCTATGTGTTCAACTCCCATACGAGCTATGGAAGTTGAAACCAAAATAATGCCACTGTGTCTCAGAAGACTTCTACTAATGGAGAGATACTTACTAAAGCTGTTATCTGGTAATGATAATGTTCTCAAAAAAATAATACCTTTTCCTGTGCAATCCTCGGCACAGCAGACTTCGGGAGGTGAGCTTTTACGAGGTTATTTCCCAGTATTGCCTCTCATTGTACTACAAATGAATGAAGATTTTAAAAATGTAATTAAACAATCAAAGTGGACATGCTACTCTTGCGCATATTCCTGTATTATATTTGAGACCAATATTGTTACTAAAAAAAATTTTTAATAACTGTGAATTATTAAGTTTTCTTTCTGATAATAACTACTATACTTTGTATACAGATGGTAGCAAAAGTGAGCTCTTTGTGCGCAGTGCTGTCTATGATCCCCAATCCAAGATTGGTCAAAGTTTTCTTTTGGATTCTAAATGCAGTGTTTTTACTGCAGAGGTATATGCGGCCCTCGAGGCCCTGAAGAGTATCGCACATATAAATAGTTTTAATAATTTTTTAATTTTAACAGACAGTTTAAGTATGGTCCAAAGTTTAACCAATCTCAGATTTGACTTTAAAAAAAAACTATATTTTGTATAATATTAAAAAGTTGTAAATGCACAAAAGGGTATACAGGTCTCTTTCATGTGGATTCCATCACATAGGGGCATAACAGGAAATGAGATAGTAGATAAAATTGCACGTGATGGAACCAACATGTTGGATGTTAGCTCCATAGTAAAAGTACCTTTGACCGACTGTTATGAATCTATTGACAACCAGGTCAATAGCTTATGGGTCGAATTTTGGAAACAAGACCAAGAACAAAAGGGTAAATGGTATGGAAATGTTCAAGAAAATCTGCCTGTAACACCATGGTATAACAAACTGAAAATGACCAGTCGGGACTTTATTACGACTATAAACAGACTGCGTTTTGGTCACTCCACCGTCCCGGTCCACCTGGCTCGGTTGGGCATAATGGAGAGCAGCTACTACACCTACTGTAATAATTCTGTTGGTGATATCGAACATTTCATATTTATAGTATGTGAGTGCTTTTCATTTGACAGATTGATTCTTGTCACTTGTCAGTGAAATAAGTGACATAGTGCAAAATCAAGTGACAGTGCAAGATTTCCCTCCCGCCGCCTGAGTGATATGTTAAAAAATAGATCCTATTACGTGCCTCTATATAAATTTATCAAAAATACAGTGGGGAAATTATTATTAACCGAATAAAAATACTCAAGACCTGGCCTAAAGGTCTAGATACCAGGTCATAAACTCAAAAAAAAAAATCAATCTAATGTCATGGTCGGTTAATCGGTGAATATAAATTAGTGTTCTGTGATATAAATACTATAAATCTAAACAATTACGATTTCTACAAATGTTACTTTCAATAAAATGATGAATGCAGTTTAATATTTTACATAAATATTGGTAGTAAACAACCCAACAAAATGTTAAACTGAAACTTTAATGTGTTCCAAGTTACATTTTCCTACTGAACTGAGTACAGTACAATATGTCTGTAACAGAACAAGCAGATCTCTTATTTTTCGATACATTTTCACATGACACGAGTGAGGTAAGATAGATATAACTATATATTTACTATAACTAATTTTAGTTATTTTAATTAACGTTTTTGTCTTTGTAAACATATTGAGTATAGGTAATGAATTTATCACTAATAGCAGCATTAATTAATCTGTTGTATTATTTACTTATGTGAATTAATAATAAGAAACCAACTAAACATCTGAAGCATTATATTATGTAGCCGAGTTCTAAGGTACTCCACGGAATGCACTACTCATATCCATCGTAGCAGAACCCTTAAGATTGCTTGCATAATAATAAATTTAACAGCGAATCAAGATAAGAATCTTCTATTCATTTGTTAGAAAATGTGTTCACTGTTTCCATTGTTTTATATGAAAATAAGTAGTTTAATTTTGTGATTCAGTTTAAATTTTATACCTAAATCAAAAATTAATAAATGGACCAACCATTATTTTGTATAGACCTGATGGTTATTAGATACTCTGGCCCATAGACATCTACATTTACCTCAATTAAGAATCAAAATGCAGATGTGTTGTCACCCCTGAGGACTAAGATGAAATGCTTTGATTCGAAACACAGCAGCACTATGCTGATATTCTGTGAGAATGTGGTCCTTTCTCGGTCGAGTAGACCTATTTGTGCTACAACCATAACATATCTGCCGCATGGTTCTACCATGTATATGGCTCAGAGCTATATCATATAGCTCACTGAACATTGCCTGCATGAAGTTGCAGTATGTTTTTTTTAGCTTCAAAGTTGTATTAGTTCTACAAGATCTCTAATATGGCTTGCATAGTTATAAAAATGTAACAGCAGAACCAAACAATCAAGACAAGAATCCCTTACAAATAATAATTTTTTTCCTATATATAAGGCTTTACTACAAACTAAAAAATATTTATTTGTTAATAATTCATTGTTATTAAGATTAGAATTTCATTTCAATTATCCTACAAATTATTTAATTTATTTGAAATATAAATAATTAAAATAATAGGCCGACTATTCGGCACTTTTTGTTGACTAGTCATCGACTAATCAGAGTGAATAAAATTTGTACAATATTCTATTCTCTTTTAGATTAAAACTATATTATGTGAAATAGTTTCCATTGTAACATCTGCCACATCCTCTTGTTCAAATCTAAATATTTGGCCTCTATTACAGAGCTTTAGGAATGTGACATGAATTTCGCCATCTACTTCATTAAAATTGTCAATAATATTTATACATCTACATTCCATATATCTGGCAAGAAATTTGTTGAGGATATAATCACCAGTGTTAAATGCTTCTTCTGTAGCGTAACTAGGTCCAACTTCATTCTTAGATTCTAAATCAGTGAATACATCTTTCATAATAAGTTTAGGCTTGTATCTATAAATTATCATTCTAAAGCTGATAATGTCAAAACTATGTTTGTGTGGTTAATTCACAAACAATCATGCTTATCAATTTTAGGAATGACTATCCAAAAAGGTTGCGGTCTACAAAAGGTGTGATAACAAATCAAGCATGTACTTATCACTTTTGTTTCCATTCTGCTTTTCTAATGATAAATTGTTTCTTTCCCCCTCCTAGTCTATTGTTTAAATCATCTTCGTAGAAATTTACAATTGCTCTTACACATTCATCGGATGTTGTTTTTCTTACCAGTCAATAAAATATTTTTGCCTTTTTTATTCTTTTATAGCTTATCTCACCTGTGTTTTTCAATTGCCACAACTTTGTCTGTTTATCAACAATCTTTCCTGAAACAGTTTTTTGTTTTTCTCTTACCGTTTCTATATCTGAAAGATTCTTCCTAGATTATGGAGTTCTTTATTCACAATAGGCGTATACCAAAAAAGCCTATTGCAATTAAAGAAGAAAGCAAATACAAACCCTAACAATACACCAAACACTAAGTTGCAGAAAATAGCAGGTACTCAAAGAAAAAATACTTTTAAGCAAAAACAGTTTCAAGGAAGATTGTTGATAAACATTATTTAATAAGTAGTGAAGTATTTAAATTCTTTCATAAAATATTTTTTGTTGGTGTTGACTTTGGGATGTATTAGATAAGTACATCAGAATCTGTAGTATTTTGTCTCATAGACATATATGTTTTTTTTTTATTGCGATACTTGGTGCAATGCCCCCTTCACTTCTTTTTTGCTTCCCCGTGTTCTCATGGAGTGGTATTTTTAATATGCTTCCTAGTGCCCTTTTCTTCTTGCTCTCTAAAATTATCTCTTTTCTGCGGGTTGTTTTTAATATGCTCATATCTCCTTTGCTCGGCTCATCTTTTTCTTTGTTAAATATCTTCCTTAGGGAGTCATTTCTTTCCTGGCGCCATACTCAAGAATGTGTACCCAAAAAGATGACAAAGATAATATAAACACTGTAAGACCTGTGATGGGCACAAGGGACTGTTGCTAAGGGACTGATTAATATTATTTCATTCAAAGGTAGCGTTGAATGTAATTGAGTCATTACTTTGCTATACACAGAGAATATTTAACTATTATAACAATATAAAGTTTCTAAGGTTTAAATATAGTACATTAAAAAGAATCCTTACCAGAGGACTGTCGGCTATCAGGTTAAGTGAGTTGCACGGACGCTCGTGCAGCACTAAATAAAAGTAATTCAGACCATATTGTTTTGTTACACGCAGCAAAACAATTATTTAATCTTTAGATTTCGTGAAGCATAATTTAAAATAAAGACAGGGGAACTGTTCACAAAACAAATGAAAACAAACTTTGATTAAATTTTTTACTATCACAAAATAAGATTTATAAAAAATAAGCATGTCTAATTGACAATTATATAATAATTTTTGAAAAATCAAACAATTTTATTTATTCCTGTACTGTACTGCTTTGGTGACATTCAGGGGGCTTGTTTTTTTTAAAAACTGAAAAGTTTTTGATACAATAAAGTTTATTTTAATAGATATTGCATGCTAAGCAGAGGTAAATTAGGTTATTACCTTGTAAAGTTATCTACAAAATATATAATAATCTGTACTTTTTTATATAATATTTGCCTGAGACAATGATTTTCCCAGTTTATAGAGAACCTAAACTGACTACTAATTAATAATAAAGTAGTTTTATGAAAATATCAACCACACCCAATTATTAGAAAAAACTATCAAAAAAGCTTTATAAATAGTATAAATAAATTTAAAGACTAGGTATACTACTATTCAAGATCATAATGATTCACAAAGTATGTAATATATTTATATGTTGGTTTTTTAATTGCAGGAACTGAATTTGGATTTGGTACAATTCCCAAAATCGGTTTATGTGAGAGAGATTCGCATTATACCTTTAGGTGCAAGGGTTGAAGGAGATTTTCCTGGTGGCGTGCGACTTGGTGCTACTAACCCAACAAAATTCCATATCGATTTTTTCGTAAATGACCTGAGCAAGCCCGGCGCCTCAACATTTGAAGCATTGGGAAGTCTGGACTACTGTCAAAATGGACAAATACACATGGAGTGTGGGTCCTCTGTGGATCAGCCTAGAATACCAACAGATGGCCTTGTTCTTAGAGGTTGGAGATATTGCTTTCTATAAATTAAGTGATAGAAAATCTTTAAATGTTACTGAATAAACTTGTTATAAGTTCTCCTCCATCTTGTTTTGTAAGTTTCCTAAGAGTTGATTAACGAACCATTAGTATATAATAGTTTTCGATGAATGGCAGAATAACCATGACAAAATATTTTCTATGAACAAGAATAAAGGTAAAAACTAAAACCCAACTACGACAAAAAACGTCTTTCTTCTTTTGCGCGGTAGGGCCACCCTGCTGTTTTAATAATGTTTGCGGCCCAAACTGGTCGGCTCATCCACAGTCCCTCTCTGGTTTGCACAGAATAACAACTTAATTCTTCATTGAGCACAGATATATTTGTCTATGGGTCATAGCAACCACTTGACATAGGTGGACTGTGTGCTCGTTCATCATCTGCGAATGGAGAACTAGGTGATGCCCTACCTAGTTCATCATTTTTTTTTGAATTAACCTCTAGTGATATGTGAATTAAGAATGTGCTCATGTTATAGAGATGTATGTATATTTAATATTTATATTACAATTACATTATCTATATTTAAATTAAATTTGATAATATACACTAACCGGCACAAAAACGACTTACTTTGAATTTTAATTAATTAATTGTCTTAGATTTTTTCATTAGTATCATGTCTATTGATAAGTGTTATTTGAATAATTCTTTGGCAAAGAATATTCGATAAACAAAGCTCGTAAGCGAAATCGGAACTCATCTGTAAACAGTACTTGGCTCCTGGAACAATGGATCCCAATTCACATATTCATGTGCGAATGTAAGTTAGCTGACTCGATGCTGCCAGATAAGCTCTGAGTCGTGCGCAGGTCTTCTGGCCATGATATCAGTTTCACTGAAGCGTCTCCTGAGTCCTGTCACTTACATGCACATCTCGAGCTTCAGCAAGACGATTCCTGACTTCAACAGCAGTAATGGCCTTGTTACGTAGTATTACTAGGGTAAGAAATAGGGTCTTTGGCGCCCTGTTCCTGGGCGAAAAAATAAACATATATAATTTCAAGATTATTTATTTAATGAAATCATAGTGATAATCGTTTTTTTGTGTGGGTCAGTATATAATACAGCCTAAGCCGCGTAATATTTTTAAAAGTGTGTTTAGCGATAATAAAATTTTTTTCGTCATTATTAATTATTTGTTTATTTACTTTAAATATAGACATTTCTAAGATTACTTCCTCAAATACTTACCATGTAAAGAAATACGCACTACAGCAACTGATGTACTCTTTTTCTAGGATGGTACACCACAATCACCCTGGCGGTTTACGGCAACTTGACTCAAGTTATAACTGAAACACCAGTAGGTGCTAATCCTCCGTCAAGTGTGCAACGCCAGCCTATCACCCGTGAAGTTGCAACGGTAGCGCCAAGCGTGCCACAACCCGCAGACTGGAACCAAGACGTATCCAATCCAATACCATCATATACTGGGAATGTTGCTACAGGCAATCCAGATACATACGGTGCCACCGCTTACCCAGAAAATTACGATAGTCAGATGTATAGAAATGATTATTACGCTAATGAGCCACCCAAAGATCCAAGGACTTATCATCATCTGGATGACGCCGACTGGGAGAAGGATCGTAGGGATTTGAGTTGTGAAAGAGATGGAGACAGGATGCGACTCAGCCCCCGATCTCTGGAACATGATAGAGAAAGGGATAGAAGAGACGGTAGAAGTCGCAGACGATCGTTAGACCAAAGAAGAAGTCGCGATTCGTCACGGCATAGGGAAAGAAGTCGCGAACTTGAACGTTTACATTCCAGATCAAGGAGTAGGGACAGAGATTATATTGTTAAAGGCGAGTACCGGCAATTGAGTCGCTCAAGATCGCATAGTCTCGATAGAGATAGACTGAGGGGCTTATCTAATGATCGTGATTGGGATAGAGGATCATATAAAAAAGATGACTACCGTCGTCATCGGGATATTTCGTACGATAGGTCTCGTGGTGGTTCTTATGAACCGCATTCTCCTTATGATAAAAGACCTCCATCTTACGAGCGTAAAATCCCATATGACAAATGCGGTCCATCTTATGAGAAACGCTTATCGCCTTATGACAAACGTAGTTCGTCATACGAACGACGCGCCCCATCATATGAGAAACAATCCTCATATGATAGAAAACGACATTCCCCATACAGCCGCATGAGAGGCTCCAGCTATGGTAGTAGATCACCAAGTCGCGACGACTCTAGGAAGCGACCTCGAACCCCTCCCGGAGAAGGGGTAAGGCGGCCATTATCACCAAGAGAGGGAGATACTTCCAGTCCAATTAATTCGATTAGATCAGAGGAAGCCCTTGATTATGATAGAAGTGGCAAACAAATTCCTCGTATCGATTTCTATCATCAAAGCTATCGTCACAAGAGTTCTATTAGAAGTCCATCTCAGGAAGTGGATAATGCCTATACTGAGCCCCAGCATTCGAGTCTGGTTACCGTTCAAATTGTAGACAATGCTGCTGCAGTAACCAAAACGGCAGATTCACCTAATCGGATGCAAGATGAAGATAAGTCCATGGATGCTGAACAGTTTGAGCCTATCCTGTCAGATGAAGATATATGCGATGATCTAGAAGGACCGCCGTATATGGAAGTGGAATATGAAGTCAACGAGTATTGTGGAGTTGACGACATTATTAAATATTACAATCCGTTCAAAGCTGAATGGAATAAATACGAATATATGAACCAGGTACATTTGCTTTCAAACAGCAAGGCAGAGAATATTAAAGACGTTAGTAACGCCAGTTTTCAGGAACTTTGTGATTCCAGTGCAGATCTTTTTAAAATATCTGAAATAACTAAATTAGTCAACAAACGTGAGTTTCTCACCAATATATTTACAGAAATTGACAATTCTTCTAGGGAAGACTGGGTGCATCAGTGTGAACAGTTGTTCGTATCATTATCAAATGTTTGTAAGACTTCAGACATTATTTTGCGGATATTTTGCAGTCGTGACGAAAAGAATGCCACTGATGATTTCTCTGATATTTGTGATTTACTTATTACGTTTATTAAAATTGGCTTAAATTTTGATTTTGCTTTGTCCCAACAACAACCAACGTACAAGATAAGGCATATGAAGTGTGGTATTCGACTCGCAGAAGCGTTGATGTCCCATAGCCATAATTGTCAAGTCATGAAGGTGTTATTGGACAATGATATAGATATACCAATGCTGCTTATGGATATGTATTCCAAAGAATACATGGCTTTGAGCATACGATTAATGATTTTAAAATCGTTGAATGCTTGTTTGTCATCTAAAATATCCATAGAACACTTTATGAAGGAAACATTGTTCCCTAAATTCGATAAAAACGAAAACGATGCGATGAGAAAACCAATGAATGGATACCAAGCTTTAATTGCAATAATGCAGACCAATCCGCTGGCAAGAATTAAGTTTTCATTGAGTTCGTTAATAAAGAAACTGAATATTTACGAGGCGTTAAGCAAATTGCATGACGTAGTTTTTAGCTTCAATAAAGCAGTAGCTGAAAGTAATCAAAATGATGATAACGAGCTTTCAGAGAGTGATACAGAATTCATAATAAATTGCTTGGAAGAGGTATTGTATATGTATCGTTCGCAATGCTTCCATATATCACAACCGAAACGTTTCCTACCAGTCTCAGCACAATTTGAAATCAACAGGGAGTGCTCAAATGAAATACTTTTGGAGTTTTTCAATATTCACCACACCCTCGAAGTGTGCCTTTATTTACTTACGTGTCCAGCCACCAGCAATAACTTGGTGATTACTAGTCCAATTCATGATTTGATTTTTGAATTGGTTCACTCACAAAATGGCCTTAACTTTTTGTACAAGAATATGGAGATGAGTGAACTTCTATTTAAAACTCTTAATCAACCCTACGGTCAACAAAACTCAGAGGAATCTGTTTATCCCCATGATTTGAGCAATTACACAGATCTTCAGATTTTGGGGCTTGAGATGGCTTATAGATTGAAGGCATTATACTATTTACAATCTATTTGTGATCTACAAGCGGGAAGACCAGACGAGAATGAACTGATTGACAGATTACAGTCACTGTACTGTCTTGGTTTCGGGTGCATAGGAAAAACAGCAGTACCTGATGTCATAGTCATGGATGATAACGCCGAGTGCTTGATGGAGGTGTTTGAAAGCGATTTGAAGAACAGAAATAAAAGCGATTCATCATCTAAGCAGAAATCACCGGCTAAAGGTTATGCTATAGAACTTATTGTCTCGGCTGTTAGGTTTTCAGCAAGTGTGCCATTTTTAAAGAAATACGGACAGAGACTGATGAACGTGTCCAAAGAACACGATAAATTCGAGCCCAGCGTGTCCAGTGTTCTCCAAGAAGTTATTCCATATCTGAAGCCAGCTGAAAAAATGAATCTCTTTACAGGAGATGACATGGCAGAGTGTGTTGAAATTTTGAAAGTGAGTACAGAACACGCACCTGATTTACCCGGTGAATTGACGACTTGTCTTAGAATTTTGCGTCATTTTTGTATTTCGGACTACGAGAAAAACGTTTCCATCGTTACCGAGTCGCCTACGGAAGAATACGTAGAGCTGAAATACAAATATAATGTCTTACAACTATTCTCTTTAGATGGCGTTGCTCATTTGGTTGGAATTCTCGATCGCTTAGCTACCCACTTTGAACAACCGAGCATGCACACGTCGTTCTTCGCTTCAGTGAAGGGGCTACAGTTAGCTCAAATATTGCTTCCATGCCTTAGATTAATAGATGAAATGCTAGCAAGAGTAGTTCGATGTCGCGGCCCAAGGTTCAGGGACTTAACAGCCGCCCCTATTTTATTGAAGACTTATGGAATGGCTAAAGCGTATCCAGTAGGTTCTATCGGATTCAGAACTGCATCGAAAGCGGCGGAATCTGCTGTTAGAGCACTTCTCGCTTATGCTCAACCAATAGCCGACGACGCAAACGACGGGGATTCTATACGTCGCGGACCATGGACGTCTTTGTGTTCTGAAGTGATACAGTATACTATGACAGCACCTTATACCTTCGTTCCTGGTCTTTTAGTGTTCTCTGAGCTTTTACCCCTGCCACTACCTATGCAAACTAAAACAGCGCCAACTGAAAGAGAATTAGAAGACGCGTCAAATGAAAGAAGACTATGGTCGGCTCATTTGCACGCACTCGCGAACGATTTGACGGATATGATTCAAATAATATGTATGTCTACCTATAGACCAGTGGTCCACATGCTACGGCGCGTTTGCGTACAAATTGCCGATTTGGCGCCCAACACAGCAGCTACAGTGGCTCGGGCGGCAGTTGGTGCAGTCATTAGAGAATTAAAGCCTGCAGAACCAGCAACTCCCAGTTCCGCTAGAGTCCTAGGCTTCTTAGCGTGTCTAGTATCTCACGCACCAGTTAAATGTGCAGTATTACATACAATGAATACGGGTGGACCAAAGTCGAACGACGTACAAGCTGCACTATGTGGTGTTTTAAGTTTATCGAATCCATCAAGCGAGCAGGCCACCGCGCAGGAATTCGCAGCCCATGCTTTAGCTGCTTTCTGTGACGCGGAAGTCACTTTAACTCCCACGAACGCTTCGGCTGATATTTTATTGGCAAATTCATTGCCAAATAAAGACGCATTAAATTCGTTGCTCGAAGCAACTGCAGCCTGTCTAGAGTCGACGACTAAAACTTGCGCGGTTGCATCCGCAGTATTGCGTGCTTATTTCGTGCTAACAGAACATGAATACGGCTTCCAGCAGTTTAGAAAATTTGTGTCGAAAAAGCGAGAGGCTCTCGGAAAGTATTTCAAATGGGCTTTGGACGGCCTAGGAGAAGACAGAGTTGAATGCTTGAACCTGTACATTGATTTAATTAGAATTTTAAGAGTCGAGGATGGAGAAGGTCCAGTTGGTAGGAAGAGTGTTCTGACACTGAGCGAGATGGCAGATATGGTCGGGTATACAGAGGGTGAGCAGAATCATCCAATATTCATCTTGGAACAGATGCTTCGGGTTCGTATTATTTTACTACAGTTTTTTTTTCTTAATATTTTATAGTGTTATTACGTGATGACTGAATTTACATATCATCTAATCAACAACTTTTATGTGTCATAAAATACAACTAAGTGATACGGGAGGTACTAACAAATGCGGTTTCCCGTATGTGGAAGAGAGCATCTACTTGTAAATGTTTTATAACAAATCAAATCAATAAAGAACTGCATTCGCCAACCCATCAGCCGAGCGTGGCAACTATGGACCCCCCCCCCCTCCTTATGAGACAATCGAAGTGGAAGGTCTATATTCAACTGTGGACTTTGATGTATTTTGAGTGTTTGTGAAATGTATGAGACCTATACATGTATTGTCTCATGGATACAGGATGTTTGGAAGACGGTGCAAAGCCTGAAAGGGATGATACCTTTAACCGCTTAGAACATTTTTTTTAAATTATGTGCGAGCAGCTATGCAAATCTAAGAATCACTGCGACCTAAAAGATCTATTGTGCTGCTGCTATCGCTATAGTTCACTGCTAAGCCCTATGTCTCAGCAGTGAACTATGAGTGTTACGTTTGCGCATTAAGGGTCCGTAATCAGTTAGGATGTGCAGAGGTGTTTCTTCCGTTAGGGAACAGAACCGGCACATCATTGAATTGCTTGGTCCCAGGGTGGACATGTGCTTTTTAAGACAACAGTGTACAGTTTGGGCCTTTACCAGAATGCGCAATTTATTTTTACTTAATCCCAGGGCATCTGAAGCGAATTTACGATCAAAAGCCCGGATTAAGGTTTTAGAATGTTTTAAGCCTGGTGTGTCAGACCAGATCTTAAGTGATTTATTACGATAAAGTGTGTCAAGGGTCAATGGAGCTAGGCTTTTTGAGATTCCACAAAATGGCTCAAGGTCCAAATTGTGTTCTCTTTGAGCCCTACCGTGCGATTTTGTCGTCAAGTTCATTGCCTACAATACCCGTGTGACCCGGAACCCATCTTAAGACGACCCTGTTGCTACATCCCAGGGTGTTTAGACGGTTCACGCAGTCTCCAACTAGCTTCGAGTTCACTAAGTTTGAACTCAGCGCTAGCAGTGCTGCTTGACTATCAGAGTTTATATAAATTATATGGTTGACGTAGTGTTTTTGCAGATTGATTTCCGCACACTGAAGTATGGCGAAAATTTCTGCTTGGAAGATAAAGGTAAATCTATCCAAATTCATACTAAGTTTGAATTTGGGGCGTTCCTCATAAATTCCAAAGCCTACGTCGAGGCCCATATTTGACCCATCGGTACACCATATGAGGCTATCAATCTCACAGATAACCTGGCCATTCAGCCAGTCTTCTCTGGAAGTTAGTTCCACTATATACTTTTTATTAAAAGTGTATAGTAGACGCACGATATCTGAGATCATACATAAGACCAGTGTTTCCTTAATTGAGTCGAGCATAGATTTCAATTTTTAGGAAAGCAAGCTCAAACCACCCTGGGCTTTACAAACTATACAAACTAGGCCTTGCCTCCTTTTCTAGATAAAGATCAATTGGGCGTTAGGCATCGCTCCAATTGCCACTAAGCAGGCAGTCCTTTGTAGACTATTTAGTCTGTCCGCAGTCGTCTTTTGGTCGGCCTTGTTGCACCAGACCGACAAACAGAAGAATCGGCCTCACTATGCTGCTGTAAAGCCATTGGATCATACTGGGACGTGCTATTTTTGCCTTTCTGTTTGAGAGCATTAACTTCTTTTTTTAAATCGAATTTCTAAGTTTTTTAACAATAAAACCTTTTTTTTTTTCAATTAATTTCTAAAAGTGTCCACAGTTGTTATGGTATTATTTTTTGTTTATGTAATGTGTGATTACTCAAACAAAATAATTTTTAGCCATCTTCATTTCTTAAAAAAATCAACATTTTTTAAAAACATGCTTAGTTATTGCCCTTTCTTTTGAGATATTATTTACACAGATCTCTCATCAAGTCTTGGAATAATGTTGTACAAAGCAAATTGCGGACTAAAATAATGCACCATTTTTGCTCTAGAAATGATCGCTATTTTGTAACGTCCGCCATATTGGATTAAAAATGGCGGAATTCAAATAATCGTGCATTGTCTCGTAAACCAAACGTGAGGCCAAATTTTAGCCCGATAGCTTCAGTGGAAGTGGATGTCATATTGATTACAAAATTCAGGCTTTGCACACTTCTTCCAAACATCCTGTATTATCTGACAGAACCATGCTGCGGCATGCTTCCTATATATTGAATTAAATATTTAGAATTGTTACCACCTTATTAAATATAGAGAATCTTAACGGGCACTTATTTCTCATTTCTCTGGACTCGTTTCTCACCCGTATTTGTAAATTCGTTTGTTAGTTAATTGAATTTTTCTTAAGGATATATCGATTATAGGTTTATAGTAAATATGCAAAAATACCCCCATATCATTCAGTAGATGTTGTAAAAGGCGACGGAGGTAAACCAAAACTGGAAATAGGCAGCTGCTTCTTCATAATGACTACTCAATAATAGTAAAAAAAAACTGAGTTTGTCAATCCTCCTGCCAAGTGTAGCAATTATGGAAAAAATTCTCATTCCCAACTATGAAGCAAAATATGGGAAGTGTGTCCAGCCGTGGACTTATGATGGGCTGTAATAAATTAATGAAAATTAAAATTAATTATTATTATTAAACTTAATCGAAATTTACACACAATAAAATATAACACAAAACTACCAAGTCTCACCAGTGCATGTAAAGTAGTTGTTCCGGTGCATACAATATAACCAATTCGAAAGACGACAAAATGTTTGAATTCAGGAGATCTAAGCTGCCATTTATCATACTTACTTTTTGATTATTTTCGATTCCAGGAGCGCAATTCAGACGAAGATGCAATAGCCAATGCCAACTTCTTGGCTTCTCAGCTCCAGAAGTTGAAATCAAGTGACGATCCACCGGCAGACGTACCAGACCCGATACTTCCAGCGCCAGAGACCTTAGTGGCACAGTTCGCGGCCCGAACAATGTATACTATTGGGGATGCGAACGATGAACGGTTGACTAGCAGTTATTGGCTTAACGTCCCGTCGGCTGGTGGTGATGATGACGTGAACCATAATGATCTGGTAACTTACTCATGTAAACTATTGAGAATAGGCATGTAAGAAAATCGTCTAAACCTTATAATATTATTGTACACAAATATTTCTTTGATTTTACTCGTCTTGTGTGTGTGTCTACTTGTCTCGTGCCTGATGTTGTATCTAAATACGTTTTTAATAAAATAACTTCTAGATTCGTTTTTTAACCGACTAACAACGCCCACAAAACAGTTGGATGAGAGATTCTCTAATGCTGTTAAATGGTCATCGTGAACGCAATAGTTGGAAGATGGAATGTCATGTAATCTCACAGAATACCAGCGTAAAATAGTGGTTTAATACTGCTGTGTTTCGTATAGTGAGTGTAGAGAACTGGAGACCTCTTTAACTGGAAACGAGGCATTCCATCTTAGTCCTAATGGGTGACAACGTTATTTGAATAACGAATCATATTTGAATAACTTTATGTTTTTGTGGGTTTAAAATTTCTGCACAACACGGTCCAATTTTATTGTGAACAAAATAGAGCGTTACTTAGTTGCAATAAGTAAATGGTTCGCTACCTAGAAGGGCTCTTAGGCATAATAGGGTGCTTTGATATGAAGCGTTTTTGAGAATGTGAGAGCGCCCGTGTTTTTGTGTGTACCGTTACCGTTATCCTAATCTAAGTCCACTGCTCAATAGAGGCCTCCCCCTTATAATGCCTCATAGGGGGGATATTAGCTCGCGGTTTTTTTTTAAATTTATAGTCGTTATTAGGAAGATGCTGCTGCTAATCTCCTGGTTTGTTTCATCCCATGGGTCTCGTAAGAGGCGACCCTCTTGCTACACCCACGGGATGATATGGGGTAGTGGATATTTTTACACCGCTACTATACGGCTTATGTGTGTACGACCGTGCGTATTTACGTGCATGAGTATGTACCTAAGTACGTGCATGTACGTGCATACAAACGTCTGTGCGAGAGATCAGGTGTGCGTGCGTATTTATCTGTTTGAAAATGAATATTTTATTTATTCTTATTAATTCATATTTGTGAGCTATGCACATTTATCGAATGTGCGAAAAATATATTTTGTATTTTTAGAACGTCAGTCTTTCAAGATTACTTATTTTCTAGTGTCGGAGACGTAGACAGATATGAATTATTTTGCAATGATATTTAAATTTGAACAAGTTTATAATAAAATATGGCAGTTTATATTTTTTTTATGCGATAAGAGTGCCAAGTGAGCACACAGTCCACCTGATGGTAAGTGGTTGCTATGGCTCATAGACATCTATATCTATCGTTGATTGAAAATGCAGATGCGTTGTCACTCGTGAAGACTAAGATGAAATGCCTTGTTTCCATTAAAAAGGGTATCAGGTTCTCTACAATCATCATACGAAACATATTTTACGCTTTTATTCTGTGAGAGCGTGGTCCTATTCTGATCGAACTATACTACTAATATAGTTTCAGCATGGCTCTACCACGTTGAAATGTTAGTATATGTGCGCGTGTATTCGCATTACACATGCTATTAAAATATGGAATCATAAATAGCGGAAAGTAAATATAATTTCTAGTTTTCGAACCATTTTTCTCATCGTATGTGATGAAACATAGATGCAAATAATATTGGGGTCAGATGTCACGAGATTTACTGCCATTTATGATGTTGTATTTATTCTTTATTATCATGTGATATACGTACTTGTGTGCGCGCGTATGTTTATACAACGTTCTCTCGTGCGTGTGTATTTATATATTATGTGTGTCCGTGCATATATACTTATTACGTGCGAGGGTGCGTGCGTTTGTGAGAGCGTACATGCGTATGTAAGTAGGTACTACGTGCGAAGGTGCGTGCGTGCCTACGTACGCGTGCCCGTGGTACAAGAATGTGGGCGGTGCGCAGGTGTCGTGCGACGTGGTGGCGCTGGCCAGCCAGCAGCTGGGCGGTGCGGCGGCGCTGGCGGCTGGTGTGCGGCGCCTGGCCGGCGTGCCCGACGCACAGGCACCCGCGCCCATGGATAAGCGCCCCGCCGGTACACAGCCATAACCACCATATACCACCACCACCACACCACTACCATACTACACCACCACCATTACAATAAATATTAAGACTTGGTAGTTGATAACATACAGTAGCAGTAGCAACTGTTTACACATTTGACGCTACTTCCTGTCGCCGGCCTGGTTATTTTAATTTGATTTGTAACAGAAAAAGAAACAGAATTTTTTTATTCAATGTAGTTTATAAACAATACTTATTGAAAGTCACTTTTTTCATTTACCACTGGTTCGCAAAAAAAACCTCTGCCCTGGGAAGAACCAGCAAGAAACCCAGCGGGACTTTTTTTTTTCTTCAAATAATAGCTTAGCGTATGTGACATTTTGTCATACGCAAAGTTCTCCTCAAGAATGAATTACTGAATCGGTGGAGTCGAGTAACTGGTACTACTAGCTTGTGTCTGTTCCTAGTGTTTACAGAATGAATATCACTTATTTTTGCAAAACCTCGTTTATTCTTGTGTACGTACATTACATTTTCATAAATGTATTAAGAGGCCAAAGTTAATATATTAATTTCATAAAAATTTTGTTTCAGTGACTATTTTGGTTTTAAATTATATATTGCTCTAATGGCCATCTTCTGTAAAATAAATATAATTTCAGTGTCAGTCGCGTCACCATAGCAAAATACCATACGACTATTCTAGCTGTTTCAACACTGGTAAGAGTTTTGATATATGGGGGAGCCATTGAAGCTTTACTTCTAGTGTGATTCCAACAAAAATGGTGGTATCAACAAGACTCAGTTCTTCCCCATTTAAAATTACATTCGTATTAACATGTTTGACATTAAGAGTTACGAATTTCATACATTATTTTTAGTTCCATTTAAACGCAAATTATTAACATTAAACCAATTGACAAACTTAGCTATAGCATTATTTACTTCGTCGTAATTTAATAACTGTCGTTTTAATTTGCAAATTAATGAAGTATCATCAGCAAATAATACTATATCATGGTTATCCCCTACTATGTAAGGTAAGTCATTAATATATACAAGAAACAGAAAGGGGTCGAGAATTGAGCACTGAAGCACGCCCATTTGTACAATCGACCCGGAAGACCTCATACTATTAATGACAACTTTTTGCTTTATGTCATTTAAATATGAAATAATTAATTTAAGAGCATCGCTTCTTACACCGTAGTGTTGAAGTTTCCTGATTAATGTTTCATGGTGAACACAATCGAAGGCTTTGGATAGATCACAGAATATACCTCAAGCATCCTGTGAATTCTTCCATGCATTAAAGATATATTTAATCAGCTCAACACAAGAATCAGTTGTTGAGCGATCCCTTGTGAAATCGAATTGATTTTTATGAAGTTAATTATTTACATAAAAAAAATTTACATTTGATCAAGAACTATATTTTCAAAAAGTGTTGGCAGTACAGAAATAGGTCTAAAATTAGCGGGGTCCAATGTACTACCAGATTATATAAAGATATTACTTTATTATGCTTCATTAAATCAGGAAACACGATTCGATACTATTATTAAAATAATAGTTGAGGTGCGATTTTATCTATTATAGACTCAATAACTTTAACGGAAATCTCCCACAGATCGGCCGTTTTCTTAATATCAATAGTCTTAATATTTTACAATATCTTTTATTGACACTTTATGAAATGTAAAATTCTTTGTACACGCATTTACATTTTTTACAAACTGTAAGATATGGTTATACTGTTATCAATCAGAAACCACAAGATCCTCCCATCCACCTCTTACGTCTTCCACAGAAACGTCTTAATGGATTTTCTTACGCTATTATAACATGGAAATTGCATAGGTAAAAAATATTATGTTACCTCACAGAAAAGGGGTGCAAGCTCACAGTCTACCACATAGTAATTGGATACTGCGGTCCATAGATCACATCTACCCTCGATTATAAATTAAAATGCAGATGCGTTGTGACCCCTGAGGAATAACATGGAATCTCTCGTTATCAATGAAAAGTGTTACCGGTTCTCTAACATTCACCATACGAAACTTAGCAGCATTATATTCTGTTCCATGATGCTATTCAATATAAAGACATTAATTCCAACACTTACATCTACACACATGTTACATTAAAATTAAGTGAAAAATAACTTAAAAAAAAAAGAAAGAATAGAAAGAAATACACAACATCACAATAAAATGGCGTGGTTCTATATTGTTGTATACTTCTACCTCGGTCCAGCCTATCGTTCCTGTTGAAGCTATGATTTAGCTGCACCGTGGCGCTACGACGTAAAATAATGGAGATTAACAAGGAAATAATGGTATCTACAGTGGCGCTGAGTCGTGTCCGTGCGGAAGGCGGTGCGGACGCGTTCCGTTCGCGGCCGCCCAACACTTCGCGGCCGCCCTCCCTGCACGTGGATGACTTCACCGCACTGCACCAGCCATACGCACTCGCGATCAGGTAACGATGAATAAACTACCTCACATCATTTGAACTGAAAAATTATTTAGAATTGCTGTAATTTAAAATTCAACAAAACGTAAAATCGTCACTAAAAGGAGATATATGCATCTATAGGATTTAGCCTGCAAGAGAATGAGATAGAATATGGTATAGTGTTCCCATTATCACGGTCTTCTCTTTATGCAGTGTTTCATAGTCTCTTTCTGTAGTTACTTTTTAAAATAATCTAACAGAAAGTACTCGCATTGCATATACAAGCTTCATCATCATCATCACCATCACCACCACCTGCAGCCGTCGACTTCCTGTATGTCTTACGAGGTCGTCACTCCAATTAGTGGGGGAACGCGCTACACTTCGTCTACGATAGTGCCACTTGAGAACCTTTCTTAAATGTATATTGTCGGTACTGCTAGCCATATGACTGGCCCATTACCACTTCAGCTTAGTAATCCGTTATATAGGTCGAAGGTTATGTTTTGATGTAAGGAATGAATTACTACATTGTTTTTTTTTTTCATTCATTTAAAAATTTGTACGTTGAAACGCGTATAGACCACCATTATCTATATGTATTTAACTTTCTTAACTTATCATAGCACTTTATATAACACAGCATTTTTATAGGCTATACTCATCCATCAGTTCAGTATTACAAGCATTCAAATCAAGTAGAAGACTTTTTAATCTTTCGAATATCATAGCAACTTTATTTCAACAAGTGTGGGAGTTACACCCCACAAAATTGTTTAGTTCGTTGAGAAGAAAAGATTATAAAGTAGTTTTTATTGGTTGGCAGATGAGGGTTTAATTTTTTTAAGTATTTTTTATTCATTCATTATAGCCTATCAAAAGTGCATTGGTGAACATACCGCCCTTAAGATTGATTCATAGGGAGAATATTTACCATTGTTATGACAGAAACGGAAGCTTTTTTATTCAATATAGATTACAAATAATGCTTATTGAAAGTCACTTTTTTAATACCACTGGTTCGGAAAAAACCTCTGTCTTGGGAAGAACCAACAAGAAACCCTGCGGGACTTTTGTTTTAAAAAAATAACTGCTTACAATCATGTATGTTACAATTAACGACACAACAAATTAGAAATAGCTTGGTAGCGATCACCCCTCCCAGGGGTTATTATCATCCATAAATTCCTTAATATTATAATAACCCTTTATATACAAACTTAATTTAATAAGGTTTTTGAACTTTGTGCAGGTCAAATTTTGTATATGTTCTAGGATTTTGTTGTAAATACATTGCCCCAAGAATGAATTACTGAATCGGTGCAGTCGTGTAACTGGTACTACTAGCTTGTGTCTGTTCCTAGTATTTACGGAACGAATATCACTTACTTTTGTAAAACCATTTTTATTTTTGGGTATGTGCGGGTTTTTTCATAAACGTATTGAGAGACCCAAGTTAATATATTAATTTCTTTAAATTTTTATCTGAGTTACTCTTCAGGTTTTAAATCATAAATTCCCTCTTCTGTAAAACAAGTATAATTTTGGTATCAGTCGCGTCTCCCCATAGCAAAATACCATACCACATTATGCTATTGACGCTTTGCGTCTAGTGTGATTCCAATAAAATGGTGGTATCGATACTCAGCTCCTCCCCACTTAAAATTACTAAATGTTGACATTCGGAGTTATGGATTTCAAAACATTTAGTTATAGTGCCATTTGTATGCATATTATTGACATTAAACCAATGTTCTAATTTAGATATAGCATTATTTACTTCATAATTTAGTAGCTGTCGTTTTAATTTGAAATATAATGAAGTGTCATCAGCAAATAATACTATATCATGGTTATTTATCCCCTACTGTGTAAAGTAAGTCATTCATATAATATACAAAAACAAAAAGGTGCCGAGAATTGAGCCCCACGCCCATTTGTACTCTGGACCCGGAAGAACTCGTACTATTAATAACAACTTTTTGCGTTATGTCACTTAAATATATAATTAATTTAAGAGCATCACTTCTTATACCGTAGTGTTGAAGTTTCCTGATTAATGTTTGATGGTTGACACAGTCGGAAGGCTTTGGATAGGTCACAGAATATACCCCAAGCATACTGTGAGTTCTCCCATGCATTGAAAATATATTTAATCAGCTCAAAACCAGTATCAGTTGCCGAGAGACCCCTTGCAAAACCGAATTGGTTTTTATGTAATAAATTATTTACCTTAAAAAAATTACATTTGATCAAGAATAATTTTTACAAAAATTTTACTAAGTTAGTGTTGATGGTACTAAAATAGGTTTAAAATTGGCGGGGTCCAATGTACTACCAGATTTTTATAAAGGTATTACTTTATTATGTTTCATTGAATCAGGAAACACACCAGATTCGATATTAGTATCAAAATAATAGATAATTGATGTGCGATTTTAACTATTGTAACGCTTGAAAGCCGAGTTGATAACCGCAGTACTTTATTATTTTGAGTTGTCACGACGAAGATGCAGCTTTTCATTACCTGTTCATTTTTCTTACGACATCCACGAGTTGATATAGCGTTTTGAATTATCTTACACCGCCACTACGCGATGAATTCAAAAACGATAATTACAAACTTTGCAAACTGTTGATGACAAGTAGCTAGTGCGAGAGTATTGACACGGCTTTTATCCAAAGGTCGTATGTTCTACTAAACGCATATTTTCCATAAGTTCCAACTGACACGTTCTTAAAAAGTCGTGCTTCGTATCACATATCATAACATAGTGCTTCTGTTTATAGGGTGCTAATGTTCACAGCGTAATTCCAGTATTCACAACGTTGTTTGTGTTTATACCTGGGTGGATTGAAAAGTACTCGGCCTAATACAGATCCATTCAATTCTAAAAATCAAATCTACCCACATTATTTAGTTCAGTTCAGACTAGTTCATTGTGTGAAGTTCGAAACGTGTGCGATAATTAGTTGTGATTTTATAAATTTATTAACAAAGTAATCGGACATAATTTCCGCGAATGGAGCAAATCGAGCAGCGTGCCGTCATTAAGTACCTCCATAAGAAGGAGCTATCATCAAAAGCCATCCATGATGACATGGTCAGTACATTAGGCGATTGTGCTCTGTCATATTCATCCGTCAAAAAATGGATAGCAGAATTTAAGCGTGGTAGAGAGAGTGTGAAAGATGAACCCCGCTCTGGAAGGCCTTCGACGTCAACTACTGACGAAAATATTAAAAAAGTACTTGATTTAATAATGGGAGACCGCAGATTAAAAATTAGAGAGATAGCCGAGATTATAGGCATCTCTTATAAACGAACTCAAAACATCATTGTCAACGAGTTGGGTTTCCACAAGGTGTCTGCGAGGTGGGTTCCGCGACTGCTTTCAGTTGAACAAAAAAAGGACGCGATTGACTATTTCACGCGACTGTTTGGAGTTATTTGAAGCCGATGCAGATGATTTTTTGAATCGTTTTGTTACTATGGACGAAACATGGGTTCATTACTGTACACCGGAAACAAAACAACAATCAAAACAGTGGAGAAGACCTGGTTCACCACCCCCTAAAAAGGCTAAGTCGATTTTGTCGGCAAATAAGGTGATGTCTTCAGTATTCTGGGAATCGAAAGATGTGATTATGGTTGATTATCTTGAAAGGGGTCAGACTATAAACTCTGATTACTACTGCACCTTACTACGTCGTTTACGAGAGGAAATAAAAGAAAAACGTCGAGGAATGCTCAGAAGAAAAGTCCTGTTTCATCAAGATAACGCCCGTGTTCACACGTCAGTACAGTCAATGGCTGAAATTCACAACTGTGGCTTTGAACTGTTACCGCATCCGCCGTATTCACCTGATCTGGCACCATCAGACTTTTTTCTGTTCCGTAACCTAAAAAAGCACTTGGGAGGTCAAAGATTTTCGACAAACGACGAGGTCAAAGCAGCTGTAGACGCATATTTTGACTCTAAGGAAGAATTAATTTTTTTCAACGGTCTAAATGCTTGGAAGGGGAGGTGGCAAAAGTGTATTGAACTTGATGGTGATTATGTAGAAAAATAAAAATATAACTGATTTAGTATGTGTTTATTTTCTTGGTTAGGCCGAGTACTTTTCAATCCACCCTCGTAACGTAGTTGTAGTATTCATGATTTGTGCTTTGTGCATTGTGCTTGTATTAATAACATGCTTTTTTCAGCATTGTACTTGTGTTCATAACTTTTGATGGTAAAGCTCGTAATTTTTGTACTAGTGTTCATATCATTATGTTCATGTTAACAAACTTATGTTTATGCTCACACAGAGGCGGTGGTGGCGGCGGGCGCCGAGCAACTGGCACTGACCGCGGCCGTTTCGCCAGCGCCGCGCCGCCGCACGCACACTACCGACACCTGTGAGTAAACACCACACGCACACACGCACACTACCGACACATGTGAGTACTCACCGCGTGCACACACGCATACTGCTAATACCTGTGAGTAAGCACCGCACGCACACATGCACACTACCGACACATGTGAGTACTCACCGCGCGCACACACACATACTGCTAATACCTGTGAGTAAACACCACACGCACACATGCACACTACCAACACCTGTGAGTACTCACCGCGCGCACACACACACACCTACTAATACCTTTGAGTAAGCACCGCACGCACACACGCACACTAACGACGCCTGTGAGTACGCACCGCACGCACACTACCGACACCTGAGAGTACGCACCGCACGCACACACGCACACTAACGACGCCCGTGAGTACGCACCGCACGCACACTACGCAACGCCTGTGAGTACGCACCGCACGCACACACGCACACTAACGACACCTGTGAGTACGCACCGCACACACACACACGCACACTACCGACACCTGTGAGTACGCACCGCACACACACACGCACACTACCGACACCTGTGAGTACGCACCGCACGCACATTACGCACACTATGACACCTAAGAGTACGCACCGCACGCACATACAAACCCAAATACGCATCGCACGCACACTACCGACACCTGTGAGTACGCACCGCACGCACACTACCAACACCTAAGAGTACGCACCGCCCACACGCACACTACCAACACCTGAGAGTACGCACCGCACGCACACTACCGACAACTGTGAGTACGCACCGCACGCACACACGCACACTACCGACACCTGTGAGTACGCACCGCACGCACACTACCGACACCATTACGCACCGCACGCACATTACCAACAACGTAAGGGTACGCACCACACGCACACACGCACTACCAACACCTGTGAGTACGCACCGCACGCACACCGCCTCTACCGACACCTGTGAGTACGCCCGACACGCGCACACACACACACACACACACACACACACACACACACACACACACACACTACAAATCCTTAACCATGTTGAGCCGTATACTTTTTACGGGTCGTTGGTGTGGAACGTAATTTTATTTGACTTGACAAGTTTTATAAAGTTTGAACCTGTCCCCGTTTAGTCGCGGTCGCGGTGCTTGGGAGATGGGCGCGCAGCACTTCGGCCACTTCGCACCAACCTCGCAGTACATGATGGGTAATTATTCGATAAAATTTCGTACATTCGACATTATAATTTAAAAAAAGATAGTGGTTGCAAACCAAATACCAGCATCTCCCTTATTTGGACAATCTATGGGGGAGGCCTATGGTAAGCAGTGTAATTTTATGGGCTGCAAGGAATTAAATAATTGCTTTAAACATGTAAAAGAATGGAATGTCTGAAAAGATGAAACTAAAAGAATGTTTGTTGCAGGTATGGGATGGGGCGGAGCTCGCATGCAGCGTGGACCGCGACATCGCGCCTTCATGCGATAGCGAGCAGTTGTGCCAGAGATATAATAAATGTCTTAATATTGCTGATTCTATTGTTTTATTTTTATTATAACGTGAATTTGGCCCACTCCTATAATATTGAATTAAAGAATGTTGATCTATTATTTATCATAAATAGACTGTTTTGAAAACAAATAATATAATAATTACATAATATACATTTACATCATGTACATAATATCCAATTACATTACATCTTATGATACGAGGTTTGAGTATTGGCTAACAATAATCTTGTTTGAACGCCTACGTCAGTAATTTGTATAATTTATCACTTTTTAAACGTATAGAGGAACATGTTACTAGCCTTACATAATAATTTAAAATATTATGTCGTTAGGAGCCGTGGTAGCTCAGATGGTTAACGCTCGCTGTAAAGTCACATTACGCGAGCAACCCGGGTTTGACTCGCGCCGGCAACAATGAAATTCTTAATTGCAATTTTAAATGCTGATTTACCACGTACTCGACGATGAAGGAAAACATTGTGAGGAAATCTGCATGTCTGAGAGGAGGTATTGTTGATGCTGAATCAAAATTCAACCAACTTGCTGAGCGCTTGCGATTGTCAAACAAAATGCATTTTTCGTCGCAGGTAACAATGCGGTTCAAAGTTACTTCATTTGTGTGCCTGTTGAGCAGTGCAAGGCACGTCTCGATGCAATCGTAAAGTTCGTGGAGCATCCATTCGTCAAGCTTTTTTACTTAAAAGGTTAAAATGTAATGAAAACATAACGTTAATAAACAGATGACTAATTTTGAAAAAAGAATTCGATTTTTTTAAAATAAAATTAATTTTAAATTAGAGCTTTTAGCTAAACAAAAATTATTTTGTTTTGAAATGGCAGGTACTGCAGAACGACAATTTCATATGTAAAGACCTATTATAATTATTTAAAAATTATGCCAAATCACTTCGAGAAAGGACTGTCGGGTAGTCCTCGTCAAACTAGCCCTGTTAGAGGCCCTAGTCCCAGAACCCAGTAGATTTCAGCATAATTATCTCAATATTCTAGAACATACAGAAAATTGACTGAAGGACTGCTAATGTTATGAATGTTAATTCCTCAGACTAGCGACTTTTTATATAAAATCAAAGCGACAAGCGAGATCACCTGGTCTCCATATACTGTAACCCATGAACATCTGTAACCAGAGACGGATTTATAATGAGGCACACTTGGCACTGGTACAGAGAGGGCATCATTGGCAATAGGCAACTTCTGATAAAAATTATACGTTTAATTATGGAATAAATGCATGTTACTAGTGAATGAAAATAGAAATGAACGTCTCGCTATATTTGCACTACATTTAGATTTGAATTATTGTAAAACTGTTAATATTTTACTTCAAATCAAAAACTATTATAACATGAAAAAATAGGGAACTATTTTTTTACAAAAACCAAGAGCACTACAAGTTAAATCCGATGCTGCCTGTAACTACAGTACTGCAGCCCATGGACACAAAAAAGAACTGATGCGTCTTCACCCATAAGAACAGAATGCCTTGTAAGACATTCTGTTCTACGCTGTAGCGTATAATTAAACTGGCTGTGTAGCATTGGTTGCAAAAAAGGAGAGTAATTTCTATTGAAAAACATTTTCTTTCATGATACAACATTTTATAGAATCAACATATGAATATTAATAATAAGACATCAAGGCGCCTAAGTGTTTACGTTGTATTTTTTATAGAATTTGACAAACGAGCACATAGTCCACCTGACGGTGAGTCGATGCTGTGGTCCATAGACATCTACATTTAACTTCGATAAAGAATCAAAATGTAGATGAGTTGTCAGTTGTCGCCCCTGAGGACTAAGTTTGAAAGTTTCGATTCCAGTAAAACGGGTCTCCGGTTCTCTACATTCACCATACGAAACAGAACAGCTGCAAGCTACTATTTAATGCTGGTATTGGTTTACGCTGGTATGTGAGAGCGTGGTCCTTCCACGGTCGAGCCGACACATTCGAGCTATAGCTTGACTACTATATTTAAATATGATTATTTGTACTATATGTAATATAAAATAAATGCAAAGTGGCGAATGGTAGATTTATAAAGAGTCTCCTCCATTACCACCTCCACTTACCACAGATTCGAACCGGTATCTTTCTTTCCATTAGAATACAATGTCGGTGTCTTTAAGGTGAGAGTGAACAGGCTCTTGTTAAGTTAGTGTGCTTCACCATCTTTATCAGCATCACCACTTACCACCAGGTGGGATAGTAGTCAAGGTGTGGCTTAAAATAGTAAAAAAGCCTTTTATTCGCAAAAACTACTTACTTACAACCCTCACCATCTTTACACATCACCACTTACCATCATGATAGACAAGTGTGCTTAAAAAAAACCTTCCTAAAAGGGCTTACTTACTTAGGTAGTGTGCTTCTTACTTACTTAGTTAGTGTGCTTCACCATCTTTATCAGCATCACCACTTACCACCAGGTGGGATAGTAGTCAAGGTGTGGCTTAAAATAGTAAAAAAGCCTTTTATTCGCTAGTAAAAGGGCTTACCTAGGTTAAGTACAATCGCGGCTTTCGACCTAGATAAAAGGTTTTGTAAGTTTGAGATTTTTTTTACATCGTATCGATCATCTATGTAACACAGCGTTGACTACGAAGATGATCAAGAGGCACTTAAAACTTGAATGAGACTTGATATTGTGCGAGGAGTGCCGTGAGAGGACACTTTAAAGTCGCTCAGCGAGCTATATTTAGAATTTATTTGTATGATAGAATCCGAAAAGAAAGATATCTGCAGCAGAATCACAGTTACCGACATATATACCAACGAATCAGTAAGCTGAATTTGTAATGGGCAGATCATTTAGCTTGAAGTCTACGTACTTGGACTCCCTTTCTGCGTACAAGTCTGTTCGAGTAGGTCGGTCGGTCTGAAGTGTACAGAGCCAGTATAAGGCTGTGAGGCATTCTACCTTAGTTCTCAGAAGTAACAACGCATACACGGCCTACAAATCTACCTGAGTAACAAACCCCCCGAGTTCGACACGCGGAAGCCAAGGGGCCAGGAAAATCGAGCACTCGTTAACACCCGCTTTCCCGTCCATAGCGGCGGAACTGGTCCCTGGGTCCGTTGCCAACCAAATTTCGACCGCGGAGGATAGAGAGCGGCGTCTCGCAAACTCGACACTCCTCTCCCCCAGCGACTCCCACCTCCATCGCATTAACGGTGCGGCCCCGTCAGAATCGCGGAGTATAGGGCGAGCAGCGCGTCACCATACCTACACTTCTCTTTCCCCGCGATTCCACCTTGGCTGCTGCGGTAGAGGGAGAGGACACCCCTCACGCCTCAGTCCAACGCACACATTCGAAGTGAGCTAGTCAATCCCACAAGGAGTGGCCACCTCTCCACCTCAAGGTGTAGGGCCGGCCCTACACTACGGGCCAGCCACGTGGGTTCCTCTTTGTTCAAAGCGGGTGACCAAGCCACGACTACAAAGGCCTCCCTCCACAACAAGGCGGGATCGCATTCGGGGGGAAATATCTAACGCCTTCTATTTTACTACCCACTTATACATTCATAAGAGTCGTTCACCTGATGGTAAGTGACTGTTGCATCACATGGAAACCTGACAAACTACTTCAAGCAACCAGTGCTTCAGATGCGTTGTCCCCTCTAAGGAGTTAAATGCAATGCCTCATGCTTGTAATGTTACTGTCTCTCTATACTCTTCGGATCGGATAACAACAACGTCTTTTTTTATTTATTTAATGACATTTACAGAAAAAATATTACATAATTTTATAACTTCGCCAAACTGTAAAGACAGTTTGTTTGGGAATAAATGCACTCTTGTATTCTACTACATAATTAAATAAGTACTCAACCCACATAATATAACAATCAAATAAAATTTTAAACATAAACACTATATAATTTCCACACTCTATCAGTTCCAAATACAACACCCCACCCACATAACATTGCAACAAAATAAAAATTGTAAATATAACCCGGATATATTATTCAAATATTACAAAAAAATATCAGTTTTCTAACTGGTCTTACATCTAGCATTTTATCCATAAAATAATTCCCAAGTTTCTTTTTAATTGTTAATTTGCAATTAGGTCTACCTTGCCTCAACCGATCTATTTCATTAAAAAGCTTTGGTATTAAATATTGTTACGAGCTTGAGGTTCGTGACAATAAAAAATGCCGATTGAATTACCAAAATTTACACTTTTTTCACTTTACACTAATTAAAACTTAAAACACTAATAATTAATCACACTGATTCACTTTATTCAGCTCCGAAGCTTCGCTTGTCTCGCCAAATTCAATACTTCCCCGATCGCGTATTGCAGCGCCTTTATATAGGAAACAACAGAATATTCGAGTAAATACGCGCGCCAACCGGCCAAGCGCAGAAAGTTCGAGTTTGGGGCTTCCAGAAAGCTTAGTTCTTCAATTCGATACTAGATGGCGCTGTCGGTTGAAAGATTAGTGATGTCATTTTCATGGTACAGCTGTAGAACATCCGGTACTTTAGCTTTAGGGACAACCATTTGCAAATGACAGCTGTCTCCCCGAACATTTTCCCATTTACGACACAGAACTCCATCCTGAAGCAGCAAGCTGTCCCACTGGGCCCAATAGCTTTTAGTGGTCGAACTCATCGCTGAGACGTCACTCCACTTGGGCTTGGGAGCACTGGCCTTTATCCATTCCAGAATCGGCTTGATGTCCGGATCTTCCTGCTGTGCATGTAGTAAGCTGTCCTTCCACTCGTTGCTGAGGTGGTCTGCCCTGAGCATCCTCACGGATACCACTTCCTTACTCTCTTGCCTAGTACAATGTTTGCAATCTTCAGGACAAGGTCTTCTTGACAATGCATCTGCGTTGCCATGAGATTTCCCGCTGCGATGTTCGAGATCAAAGTCGTATTCCTGCAGTAGTTCAATCCACCTCGCAACTTGTCCTTCTGGGTTTTTAAACTGCAATAGCCAT